CAGAAATGATCTAATGAGCACCGGTGCTCATCTTATCCTAAGCATCAATGAGTGGCACATTAATTCATTGGTGGATAAAGATTTTGTGAGTTCCAATCCACCAATGAATTAATGTGTCAACTCATCGGTGCTTAGGATAAGATGAGCACCGGTGCTCATTAGATCATTTCTGTATAAATAATTAGCTTAAAATAACATTTTTGAAGCGAGCCCCTTTTTAGTTTTGTTAAAACTCATATTTTTAGTATATTTTGAATAAAATAAATAAAATGTATTGTTGAAAAATTGACAAAAATTGTGAGTCCCATAAAATTTGTGGTTAAATTTAGAGCATGTTTGAGAGAAATTTCATCTTTCATCTTTAGAAGTATTCTTACCGTTGCAGAACAGCCGCCTACAATTGTTGACTGCCTTTGTGTGATGGTGGGCCAATGTTTGTGGAAAATAACGAGCAAAAATCTTCTAAAAATGAGGGGAAAGTGCAGAACAAACTGGGGCTTAGTTGTTGATTTAACTTAAACTTTTATCAATATTTTAGTTAAATCAAACGAGGGCTAAATATCAATAACATTTCACGTTTTTAGTTTTTTTATTCCCTACACAATTTTCTAGAGACGTTTTAGAGGCTATTGATCGGCGAATACGCATAATTTGATTTATATTTATTATTTAAAATGGCATTATCATATCTATAATATATTAAATATCATATCAAGTGAAAATCATGTTTTGGACGATTTTATCCCTACTACAACAAAAATATCTTATTTTTTCCTTTTTTATATGTAATAAAGACTATAAAAATCTTGTCATGTATGAATTTCATGTTATTAATTCTCAATTAATTAATATTCACATTAATCTAAACTCAATTAATCTACATGAATCTATCGTTATTATAAATGAATTTATTTCTATTCATGTATCTAAAAATTTTAATGGGTGTTTAATTTCATGTATTAACAATTAATTCTTACAAAATTCTTGTCATATATGAATTTTATATATTAAATATCACATCAAGTGAGAATAATATTTTGGACGATTTTAACCCTACTACAATAATACCTTACTTTTTGTTTTTCAGTATGTAATAAATACTATAAAATTCTTGTCATGTATGAATTTCATGTTATTATTTCCCAATTAATTAACATTCACATTAATCTAGACTCAATGAATTTTAATTGATGAATCTAGAGTTATTATAAATAAATTTATTTCTATTCATGAATCTAAAAATTTTAATAGGTGTTTAATTTCATATATTAGCAATTAATTCTTACAAAATTCTTGCCAGGTATGAATTTCGTGTTATTTATTCTCAATTAATTAAAATTTACATTCATCTAGACTTGATGAATCTTAATTTATATGAATCTAGAGTTATTATAGATGAATTTATTTATATTCATGTATCTAGAAATTTTAACGAGTGTTTAAATTCATGTATTAAAAATTAACACTTATGTACCAAATGCAGTATAAAAAAGTTGCTCATTTATAGTATTTCATCATTACAAAAAATATGAATAATATAAGTTGGATTTTGAGAGCACAAATTTCTTCTTTTAAATTTTTATCCTAAATTTTATTCTCCTAATAAAATGATATCAAATATTACATTTACGGCACTTATAAAAAGTATTTTAAAATAACGTACAATGCACGTTCAACTTTGACTAGTATATCTAAAAAATTGTCTACTTATCCTAACTTTATTAACCCTTAAAATCTTAAAATACAAAATAAATAAGTCTTGAATGTACATTATTCTTTCATATAATAAAGAGTTGTAGTCTTTTAAATTGAATTACTCTGATTGATCAATTCTATCACATCTCCATTTCTTAATTAGGCATACAAGAAATTTACTTAACAAGAATTTAAAATATATTTTTCTCTATCTTATTTTCAACTATATATTTTTTTAATAAAATAATATTACAGGAAAATTTAAATTTTTTTTCTTATTTTTTAATCACACATTTTTAATAAAAATACTATTTCAAAATGTATTTTCATAAAAAAAAAAGGGACTAAAAAAGGCTCTAATTGTGAAATTATGAAATCTAGATATTTATGTAATAAAATAAAAAATATATAGCACACCAATAGAAATTGATCAATGCATACCACTGTACGAAACATAACAGTAGGTGATATCATTCTCACATGATTCTTCAGCGCATTTTAGCATCCTACAGAATAGTGTACGTAATGACTCGTAAAAACATCAAGGACCATGCCATACAGGGGATGTACATTTGGCTTAATTCATCTTCCCCCACCCCACCCCACCCCACCCCACCTTCTGTGAGACGGTGATAGTAAATAGACTTGCAGAGTTGCGGGTTCTTTATCTATGGACCGATAGATATATACAGCTTCATACGTATATATCCGTATGACCAAACATACATTTCCAAAAGTCAATCTTTGGTACAGTAGCTGTAGCGCGAAGCTCTGAGTGTTGTTTCTGGGTTCGGATATTTCTCCATTTTTTCTTCTCCTTTTTTTTTTTGAGGTAAATGGTCATTATAGATACACATTGTTGTATCTATGCATATGGGAGTTAAGTAATGCAAAAAAAAAAAAATTGAAGTTTCTTAAGATAACGTTTATGATGTGGGTTCCATGTCATTTTTGTTTTGCAGTGGAAATTTAGACACAAATCAACTGTGGGGAATTGAAATTCAGGCTAAAAAATACATTGGGTACTCAATCAATTGCAGAAATTACAGCCTCGTTTGTCAAATTTTGGGGTCGAGTATTGTTCTTCATACACCGAGAGCTGCTGATCCGATTTCCGCCCGTTTTGGCTTTAACCCATGGTTGAAGGAGGTGTATCAGAGGTAGAGGAGCACAGCCCATGTGGTCCTCGACCATGGGTTGAATGGACGGATGTGGGATCTTCAATGTTCGGACCATGGAAACAAGGCATCGCGACTCACAGTAATTCTGCAACAAATTCAGACCGCTGAGATATGTTTGGGGTAGATTGAGACCATGGTTGGGGTCGCCTGTGTGTGGGAACTCGACTGGTGGTTGCCCGCGATCAAGTTTCTGGCCGGAAAATGAGATTCCGGCAGTTTTCAAATTAGACAGTTGCTGATTTTGTGAAGTGATTCCGGCCATTTTAGTTGACGGTATGGTGAGATGTTGGGTGGTAATTGTAGATGAGGTTAAGGGCGTTCTATTGGTATCAATATTCGGCAATTTAGGTGGCCAGAAAGTGGCGAAAATTGACTCCATAGGTAGGGGTTGTGAAGGTCCAAAAATGGCTCAAGTGAAGGAGAGACTTTTAAGGTCCTCAAGGTTCAAACTTCAACTATTTTGGTCCATTAAGTTTCAATTAAAATGAAGAAGTCCTGATAGTAAGTTCAGTGACCGTTTGTGAAACTGGATGATACTTCAGTGACCATTAGTGCAAGTTTTAAAATTTAGTGACCGTTTTGAAATTTTGACGTAACTTCAGTGACCATTTGTGAAATTAACCCACGTAATGACTCGTAAAAACATCAAGGACCATGCCATACAGGGGATGTACATTTGGCTTAATTCATCTTCCCCCACCCCACCCCACCCCACCATCTGTGAGACGGTGATAGTAAATAGACTTGCAGAGTTGCAGGTTCTTTATCTATGGACCGATAGATATATACAGCTTCATACGTATATATCCGTATGACCAAACATACATTTCCAAAAGTCAATCTTTGGTACAGTAGCTGTAGCGCGAAGCTCTGAGTGTGTTGTTTCTGGGTTCGGATATTTCTCCATTTTTTCTTCTCCATTTTTTCTTTGAGGTAAATAGTCATTATAGATGCACATTGTTGTATCTATGCATATGGGAGTTAAGTAATGCAAAAAAAAAATAAAAAAATTGAAGTTTCTTAAGATAACGTTTATGATGTGGGTTCCATTTCATTTTTGTTTTGCAGTGGAAATTTAGGGTTTTGAAACCAACAAAATGTTTGGGTTTACAAGAAGAAGAATGAAGCTCGGAAGGTAATGTACTTATATTGCCTATATATGTGTATTTTGTACATTTTTGTGCTTGTATTTTGCTGAATAAATGCATTTGTATGGGATAAGTTTTTTTAGAATCAATGGATGTATTTTTATTAATCTGTTAAATATGGCTACTTTTATCAATGAAAATGATCCATTTTATTTTTTCTGGTTATTTGTTGTTTTTTATTTTTCTGGGTGAATGAGAAGATTGTTGAAACTATTGATATAGGTACATTTACAAATTGTGTTCTGTAATCTAAAAGTTTAAGCAAATAGATAGAACCAAATATATACCATTTAATTATTGTCTTTAGCGCCACCTTTTCATGTCAAAGCGTGATAGGTGTATGATTTCATTAAATTATTGAATGAGTTGCGGCAATACTTGAACCAGGACCTTCGCTTGCCGTGGTAACATGTTGAACTGGTTGATCTAATTTAAAAGTTTAAGCTAGTAGATAAGGCCAAATGTATACTATTTAGATATTGTCTGTCAGGACTATATTTTTGTGTTGCGGGCAATGTTTTAAGATATGGAAAAGAAAATTGTTCATTTTGAGTAAGGTGTGGGGGATAATATAATGCTTAATTGGGTTACTAGAAATTCAAACAACAGAATTGGATGTTTGCACTTGTGGGGGTTATACTTGCTATATTGATAGTGATCACATACATGTAACCAGATTTAAATTCAAATTCCCACTATTGTGTTCCGTGATCTTTTATCGTTTTCTTAGATTGATTTGCAAGCTAGATATATCATCTGTAGCCGGTTTGTAGAAACATTTTGATTATTCGTTTTACAACAATTATGTAAATTATAGAAAAAGGTGATTTTTACATATCATATCTAATACTCTTGCATTTTCCCCAGAGTAAAAGTACAACTTTCGGACTCTGCTCAGGGAACTAGAAGTCCAATAAGGCATTCTAAACAGTTAGGCAGCACTAATGTGAGGATTCAATTGAATTACAAGTAATGTTTAATTAAAGAGTGCATGCTCAATTAATCTTGAATCACGGCAGGGGGAAGGTGTTGCATCCAAAACCAACGAACCCGATGAACTGAACTTCCAGTCTTCATCTAGTGCACCTGAGCTTAACAACCGCACCTCCGGAAGCTCTGAAAATTGGATGGTGCTTTCAGTCTCTGGAGACAAGCCTACACCTCGTTTCAATGTAATATCTTGGTCCTGAATACTGAATTAGATATGATACAGTGATGCCTTGTTCTGTCGATACACTTTATTGTTTAGGGCATGTTCGGTAGATATTAAAATCAAATTAAAATTGAAAAATTAGCTGTTATTGTTGACTTTTATTAAACGAATGAGACCCAATAACGGCTATATTTTCAATTTTAATTGGATTTTAATCTTTACGAAACGAGCTCTTAAATTAGACTTCTCCTAAAATTTGAATATTCTCTAAATAGCATGCTGCAGCAGTTGTTGGGAACAAGATGGTAGTAGTTGGTGGTGAATCTGGAAATGGATTGCTGGACGATGTCCGGGTATCATCCCAATCTTTGCTTCCTCTTTTCTTTTTTGGGACAAAAAATGATGTTACCTTTTCTTCTATTCATTTGTTTTTATTTTCTTAAATATTAATTTGAATTTTCCTTTTCAGAATAATTCATTTTTTCTCATTTCCTTGTATAATTTTTGCAACATGAAAGTTAGTCTTATGTTGAAGCAGATGAATCTAATTCCTCACCGGTCTTTTTCCAGGTACTTAGCTTCGACAGATTTTCCTGGACTACAGCTTCATCAAAGCTGTACCTTTCACCGACCAGTCTTCCCCTAAAAATTCCAGCATGCAAGGGTCATGCTTTGGTATGGGAATACATCCTAGCAGCATTAATATAATATGAATTATCCATGAATTACAGGTCGCATCCTAAACTACAATGGTTATAGTTGCATTATATAATGTCAATTTGAATCTATTCAAATTTTTCACCTCAAAAAGTATTTAAGCAGGCACAATTTATGTGCTTTATTTTGTTGTATTGATAAACATAATAATAATTGATAAGCAAATTTTAACTAAGATAATATTGAAGTTAATATTACAAATTAATAAATTGCTGTCTTATGTAACAGCTTAAGCTTTTGATGAGGTGGTTGTTATATACGTAATCAGAGCAACAAAAGGTCACACCGTCACTCGTCTATGAAAATTTCGCTTGCACCCCATTTGAAGAAAAATGAAGAGTAATACCTGAGATGGTGTCTTAAGATATATAAATATTTAGGCCACGTTCGGTAGGGATTAAAATCCAATTAAAATTGAAAATATGGCCGTTATTGGATCCCACTCGTCTAATAAAAGTCAACAATAACGGCTATTTTTTCAATTTTAATCTGATTTTAATCCCTGCCGAACGGGCCCTTAATTTACTCACCTCTCTAACAGCAGAAGTTCTTATACTAGGTGGTTTTTCAATAGTTAGTGGTATGCACTTTATAGTTTTCCTCCTCATGCTTGAGTGTCTTGATGCTAAAACATGCTTCAGTTTTTCATTCTTGATTAATTAACATTTCATTTATATTGCTGTGGGAGACGTTCAACAATGGAAAGAAAGTCATTTACAAGAAAGGGCCTAATGCTGATATATGCTACATTTGGGAATGTGGAATAGCCTTCTATTACTGGCATATCGATTAACTCATATTACCAATTTACCCTTCATAGTCCTTGTAACTATCTTTTCCTAGATGCACCTCAATGTTACTCATGTTGTACGATTCCTCGACCAATCTCACTTGTAATGTTGATATACGTTTCTAATCATTCATACGATATTGCTGATAGTCACTTCGGTTACTGTTTAGGTTCCCTGGGGAAAGAAGGTGCTTTTAATTGGAGGCAAGACTGAACCTGTGGGTGACAAAGTCTCAGGTTGGGTTTTTAGCTTATCAACAACATTTTTAACTGTTTTTCGTAATCTCTCTCTGGTACATGGTGTCCAATAAGCCAAATAATTGTTTTTCTTGTATACAGTGTGGGCATTTGACATGGAAGCAGAATGTTGGTCACTAATGGAAGCCAAGGGAGCCGTTCCGGTAAAATCTCTTCACAATTTAAAAGTTGAAGAAAAATGAAGTATGCCACTGATTATCAAGACATGATATTAGACTGCACTTTCTCGAGCCGTGTTGCAGTTTAATATTAAGAACAAACTTCTCTTAATTTTTTGTTATTTACCATAATATCGTTGTGGTTTATGAATGCCTCCACTGGAAGGATGAAGGTTTGATCATGTTATTTGCTTGGAGAAAATAACATTAGAATCCTAGATCAATTTGATATCAATAGTTTTTCATTATGTTGTCAGTCTGTTTTCACTGCATCAAATATTTAATTGAATGTATCATTGAAGCACCCAGTATTAATTACAACTAATGTAATTACAGGTTGCTCGAAGTGGTCATACCATTGTTAAAGCAAACTCTGTTTTAATTTTGTTTGGAGGTGAAGACTCAAAAAGGAGGAAACTTAATGATCTGCATATGTTTGATCTGAAGTCTCTTACCTGGCTCCCTCTTCATTGCACGTAAGTGGCTCTTGGTGTACTTCGTTAAATTTTTTAATTGTTTAAGATCTTCGTAATTCTTGCCAACTTTTCTGATTGTGGTGCTAAATTATGTTTCGCGATTATATGTTTTGTCCTGAATCTATGTATATTTTGATTCCAATGATATTTTTTCTCGTGTACAGAGGACCAAGACCATCACCAAGATCTAACCACTCTGCGGCCCTTTATGATGACAAAATGCTTTTGATTTTTGGCGGGGCATCAAAATCTCGGACGTTGAATGATTTGTACTCTCTTGATTTTGAGGCGGTTTGTAGACAATTTGCACCAGAACTTAACTGAATTATTTTAGTTATGCAGGATTCTTAGTTATAGCGATCAAATTAACATATGGAAACTCAACATTGTAACACATATACTATTTCCCTCAGATGGTATGGTCAAGAATTAAAGTACGAGGTTTTCATCCGTCTCCTAGAGCTGGTTGTTGCGGAGCACTTTGTGGCACTAAATGGTATATTGCTGGTGGTGGAAGCAGGAAAAAACGTATATCCTTCCGGCCTACAATTAAATGCTAACTTTTGACTTCATGTTCAGTTTTTACAATTTTTATCTGCTTAAATATGAAGCTAAACCTATTCAAAATCTCATGGAATCGGAATAGTTGACTATATATTACTATTTCTCTGATTGAAAATTGCCTCAATTTTTTGCTTCAGTCGAATTTTTGGAGTCCTGCTGACTATTATGACCGCCCATCCCCAATTCTTTTCCCCTTTCCAGGTCATGCTGAGACTTTGATATTTGACGTTCTTAAGCTCGAATGGTCTGTTGCTGTTGCATCACCTTCTTCTTCCATAACAACTAACAAGGTTAGATTCGGTTTTCATCTATGATAATTTGTTAACTGTTTCTTAGCCCCTTTTTGATGCCCATTTAAAACAATTTTTTTGGGGGAAATAAGTTTTGGAATAGTGATTTTTTCGAGAATGTTTGGTTAAAAATTAGGGAAAAGTTTTAGGTTTACGTGCAAAATCTTATCAAAAAAAAAAAAGGTTTACGTGCAAAATATTTTATCGTGAGAATATGTGGTTGAAAATGAGTTTTTGGATAATGGTAGATAAATCATTTTAATACTCTTCATTTGCATGTAGCTGAGTATAATCACTATTAGATGCCATAAATATCTGGATTAGCAGTAAACGATGTGGTTGCAATTTTTTTTTTTTGTTTTTGGCTCAATTTGGCTGTGAAGTCGTCCCCCCAAAGTCTTAAATGAAACTCTGTAAATCGAAACAGTCGTCCTGTGGTGGACTGACCGTCAAAGTGGTTAGAGACTTGACTTTTCATAATGTGTATTGACACAACCTTAAAGAGATGGTTTAACAAGTGTCTTCTATTAAAAACTTGCGTGATTTAGATGTTGGAGTGAAGCCGAGAAATCCTTGAAGTCTTCGGTTTAATGTAACAAATGATCAATGTGTTCACCATAGATTTGAACTTGATGAAGCCAATCGCACAAATCCTGCATATTCGTTTATGTTCTTCAAGTTCTTTTTTGTTTCATGGTTCTTGTAACTGGATAATTTTCTTTTCTGCTGCAGGGATTTAGCCTCGTTCTTGTGCAGCACAAGGAAAGGGATTTCCTTGTTGCATTTGGTGGTTTCAAGAAAGATCCATCAAATCAGGTGCTGCATAGGCCAAATATGTATCTGTTTAGTACCCACAATGAGATGTTTTCAAGTTTTTTTTATTCTAATTCTTGTATTCTTCGCAGGTTGAGGTTCTTATCATGGAAAAAGTCGAGTCTTCGATGATTCAAAGATCAACTTTGAGTAAAGTTGCTGGAACCTTACTGCCTGAGAAGCACGCTTCGTCCATTGGAATGCCCACTCGACCAATCCATGGTTCTCTCAATTATCAAATCGACTCTGTTGCAAGACAGAATTTAGCATCTGCGATCGAACAACATGGCTCTGGTAGAAAATCATTGTCAGAGTCTTTGTTAGTTGATCCGAATACTGCTCCTGGTAATGTTTCTCTCCGGAAGCAATTTTACAATGAGGAGGGGAATGCGGATATGCAGGTGACAAAGAGCTCAGAAGACAGAACTTCTTTCCGGGTAAATTATGAAAGTCTTGCTTCAATCATCCTAATTATTATCTTATTTACCACCCTTCCAGTCAGAGATGCCACAGCAAGAATTTTAGGGCCCGTTTGTTAGGAAACTGCTTTTAGGCCTGTTTGTATAATATTCTAGGAGTACTATGTCTAATTAGGAGAACTTTTATAAGAGTTTTTGAAGGAAGCTGGCCTAAAGTGGTTTGCTCAGGAAGCTCTTCTACAAAAAGCAGCAACTATTTCAGTCCCTCAATCCTGTGTAGTCTACGCTTGCATAATTCTCTGACATGAGACCTATACTTTTGATTTCAGAAAATGGAGCAAAGCACAAAACCAGTTGATGCTGGGGCTCAAATGAGCCATAATGGGGATAAAATTGCAGAATCTGTATCTGAATCTGACAACTTGAACACCTATCACAAACATGGAAGTGGCAGCTTTCATTTAGAAAGTGACGATATATTTCAAGAAAATGATGGTAAATCAAGAATAACAGCTCCATCGGGTGTCTATCAAATGTATGAAGCAAAACTGGCTGGTCTTTTAAAAAAGAACGGCATTCTAGAAGGGCAGTTAGCATCTTCTTTGGCTGGTCGTGAAGCAGCTGAAAAGAATTTGTCGTCTGCTCTCAAAACTCGACATGATATAGAGAAAAAATTGGCAGACACGATGAAAGAGGTTGAGTTGCTTAAAGAGAAGCTAGCTAGTGTAGAAGTGGCACAGGAAGAGTCCAACAGCCTGTCCAACATTGTTCATTCTGATAATGTAAGACTTGAACACGACGTGGCTTTCCTTAAGGCTGTTTTGGATGATACCCAAAAGGTATATTTCTAGCGTTATCATAAATTCATCTTGTATTTTAGCATACCCTACTTTTTTTCTTATTTTTTTTCGTTAGTTAATAATTCTCTGGTTCGATTGGTGTCTATTGCAGGAACTGCATTCAACTAGAGCAGTCCTTGCCGGAGAGAGAGCGAGAGCTTTCCAACTTCAGGTAATAGCACGGGATCTAAAAATTCGAATAAGTTAAAATAAAATGGTGAAATTGATTGTCATTGAGTATTTTGTGTGATAATGACGTGGTTGGTGCTCAATTCAGTTGTCGCAACAAATGTAGGTTAGCCTACCCCCATTTTAGTAACTAGTGATGGGCTTATTCGAGTGACCGAGTAATTATTATTGCTTCGAGTTCAATTCCAACTTAGAAGTCGAGCTTACCTGTAGGCATGTTTGGCTCAGCTTAAAAATGTAAATGTAGAACTACTTTTTCGAAACTGGAAATATAAAAAATAACTAACTTTTAGACCATGTTTGGCAGTGCTTCGATTAAAATTTAAGTAATCATAAGCTATGGGCTCTTACGGAATGTGTGGATATTAAGTGGTTAGTAGTCGTGGATCTTACAAGATGTGTGGATGCATGCACTTAGAAATGCTCAAATAATATCATCATGGCATGAATCATGATTAACTCGTTTCAGTTCTATTGATCGCAACTGCCCTAATTTTACTTGTCTTCATTGGGTTTTTGGTTTCTTGATCTATATATATATTTTCTCTATTGTGTTATATCAATCTGCAGGTCGAAGTTTTCCATCTAAAACAAAGGTTGCAGCCCCTGGAGAACCGAGCACCAACTCCGAGGAAGCCTTTCCATGTCTAGTTTGTAGAAAGGTTCACCTATTAATCTGCAGTACATATAGTATGTAAGCTCTTTTGGATTTATTGAAGAACCAGATTACATTTGGCTGACAATTTGAAAATATTTTGTACTCTACAAGAGAGTATAATCTCTGTCCAGACCCCCAAATATATAGACCTGTTTGTTTTATTTTAAAAAATAAAATTGATGGAGTTTTAGATCTAGAAATTGAAAATACAGAAAGTTTAATCGAACAATTTCTCTTCAAATAGATTTACAACCAAGTCGAACATCAGCATCAAAGATCTCATCGGTCGTGAGCTCAGAACATCTTTTGTCAAAAAACCTCAACCCAAACCCTCAATGGTCTGTTCGAAGCTGCTTCTATGAACTAGCACCTAAACTGAAAACCCCTCACTAAAGGAATCAGAGAGACTCGAAACCCCCAAGAATATGAAGGAATCACCAAATCAAATCTTGGAGATCAAACAGAGAAGACGAAGAGGAGAAGAAAAAACTCGAGAGAATTCTAGAACTTTACACAAACAGACTGCTGAAAAAGAGAGTAGGCAACCCATAAGAAGCCTATTTGTACCAACAACAGTCTTTGATCTCAGATTGTGATTTAACGGTTCAGAGAAGCTAGCTTCTCCGCACATTTGAGGCAACTGAAGTCACGCTTTCAAAGTGGTAGTTACATTAAGATCCAATTTCAAAAATCAAATATAAAGTTTGTTTATACAAAAATCAGATTTTAATTCGAATATTTAATATTTTTAAAACAAACAAAATTCATCACAAACTCTAATTACTCTCCTCTCTCATTTCTCTCTCTAAATTTCTCAATACTCATCTCTTTCTATCTCATACGACAGTTAGCATCCCTTCTCATCTCTCCACCTATTTCATCTTCTCTCTATCCCTCCATTGGTGATGTTGGATGCTGCAGGGAGAGGATCGGTGTCGCTACCACAAGAGAGCGGCGTTCATCGTCGCTACAAGAGACCAACGTCGACGCTGTAGAGAGAGGATCGACGGCCCTGCTGACTGCGAGCTCTGCCATGCCGCAGAAAGAGGAGAGACGTCGAAAGAGGAGCTCTGCCTCTGCAAGAGATTGTGATGTAAAAAAAAGGAGCACTGTCCCGACCTCTGCCTAGGAGGGTGGATGGCGATCTGACATCGCCGCTTGCAAGAAGGTAGGGTAGCGATTTCAACATTGCACGTGGGTTCAACATGGTTTGATTTTTTTGTGGTTTCTGATGATTGCTCCGCTGTCGTGGCGATGGTTTTGAGGTGATTTTTTGTGATTGTTGGTTGGTGGTGGATTTTCGAATGGTGGTGATGGTGCTTACGGTGATGATAACTGAAATTGGTGGTGGTACTGATGGCGATGGTAGTAGTGCGACGGTGGTGGTGGTACTGCGATGGTGGTATTAGTATTTTTGGTTGTGGTGGTGGTTGTTGTGGTAGTCGTGCCGCGATGGTGGGGTGGTGTTGGTGTTGATGGTATTGTGGTGGTGGGGTTGGTATTGTGGTGGTTGTGATTGTAGCATGGGGTAGGTGGGGTGGGGTGGTTGGGACGAAGAGTATTTGTAATCAATTCTTTGGGTGTTGTGACCAATAAATAATTTGTAACCTAAAAGAAATTGTGATTGTGATTAAATTTGAAATTGTCACTCAAAATTTGGTAAGTTGTGATCAACTAATCCGATAATTTGTGACCAATAAATAACATGTGACCTAAAAGTTAGAGTTGTGACTTATAAAATTTGTAATTTGTAACTGATAAATAAATTGTGACTTATAAAATTTTTGATTTGTGACCGAGAAATAATTTGTGTCAATTAATTCAATAATTTGCAATCAAATTATATAGAATTGTGACCTTAATATATTTAATTGTGATTTATAATTTTTTTTTATGTATGATTGATGAATAAATTGTGACTTATAAATTTTTTGATTTGTGACCATATAATAATTTGTGACCTGTAAAATTTCTAATTCATGACCGAGAAATAATTTGTGAACAATTAATTCGATAATTTGTGACCAATGGTATTGAATTGCGACCTTAGGATGTTTAATTAATTATTTCATAAATAAAATTTAATTAATATCTGATTTTTGAATTAATAAACTTTGTTTCTTAAGTTTGAAATGGATCAAACTTAATTTCTTATATTTGAAATTTGTGCAAATTACCCAATTCCCTACTTTTCAACATCTATTTTCCAAAATCAGATTTCAAGATTTAATTTTCAAAAATCAGATATTTTTAATTTGCTACAAATTATAATTATATATATTATATATATACAAATTATATTTTAATTTTTGTACTCTACAAGAGAGTATAATCTATGTCCAGACCCCCAAATCTATAGACCTGTTTGTTTTATTTTAAAAAATAAAATTGATGGAGTTTTAGATCTAGAAATTGAAAATACAGAAAGTTTAATCGAACAATTTCTCTTCAAATAGATTTACAACCAAGTCGAACATCAGCATCAGAGATCTCATCGGTCGTGAGCTCAGAACATTGTACCCTTTTGTCAAAACACCTCAACCCAGACTCTCAATGGTCTGTTCGAAGCTGCTTCTATGAACTAGCACCTAAACTGAAAACCCCTCGCTAAAGGAATCAGAGAGACTCGAAACCCCCAAGAATATGAAGGAATCACCAAATCAAATCTTGGAGATCAAACAGAGAAGACGAAGAGGAGAAGAAAAAACTCGAGAGAATTCTAGAACTTCACACAAACAGACTGCTGAAAAAGAGAGTAGGCAACCCATAAGAAGCCTATTTGTACCAACAACAACAGTCTTTGATCTCAGATTGTGATTTAACGGTTCAGAGAAGCTAGCTTCTCCACACATTTGAGGCAACTGAAGTCACGCTTTCAAAAGTGGTAGTTACATTAAGATCCAATTTCAAAAATCAAATATAAAGTTTGTTTATACAAAAATCAGATTTTAATTCGAATATTTAATATTTTTAATACAAACAAAATTCATCACAAACTCTAATTACTCTCCTCTCTCATTTCTCTCTCTAAATTTCTCAATACTCATTTTTTTCTATCTCACACAACAGTTAGCATCCCTTCTCATCTCTCCACCTATTCCATCTTCTCTCTATCCCTCCATCAGTGATGTTGGACGCTGCAGGGAGAGGATCGGTGTCGCTACCACTACAAGAGAGCGGCGTTCGTCGTCGCTACAAGAAACCAACGTCGACGCTGCAGAGAGAGGATCGACGGCCCTGCTGACTGCGAGCTCTGCCATGCCGCAGAAAGAGGAGAGATGTCGAAAGAGTAGCTCTGCCTCTGCAAGAGATTGTGTAAAAAAGAGGAGCGTTGTCCTAACCTCTGCCTAGGACAGTGGATGGCGATTTGACATCGCCACTTGCAAGAAGGTAGGGTAGCGATTTTCAACATTGCACGTGGGTTCTTTTGACATGGTTTGATTTTTTTTTTTTTTTTTTGTGGTTTCTGATGATTGCTCCGCTGCCGTGGTGATGGTTTTGAGGTGATTTTTTGTGATTGTTGGTTAGTGGTGGATTTTCGAATGGTGGTGATGGTGTTTACGGTGATGATGACTGAAATTGGTAGTGGTACAGGTGGCGATGGTAGTGGTGCAACGGTGGTGGTGCGATGGTGGTGTTGGTATTTTTGGTTGTGGTGGTGGTGGTGGTAATCGTGCCGCGATGGTGGGGGTGGTGTTGATGTTGATGGTATTGTGGTGGTGGTAGGGTTGGTATTGTGGTGGTTGTGATTGTAGCGTGGGGTGGGGTGGTGGGTGCAATGGCGATGGTTGGTTGGGACGAAGAGTATTTGTTATCAATTCTTTGGGTGTTGTGATTAATAAATAATTTGTGACCTAAAAGAATTTGTGATTGTGATTAAATTTGAAATTGTCACACAAAATTTGGTAAGTTGTGATCAACTAATCCGATAATTTGTGACCAGTAAATAACATGTGACCAAAAAGTTGGAGTTGTGACTTATAAAATTTGTAATTTGTATCTGATAAATAAATTGTGACTTATAAAATTTTTGATTTGTGAACGAGAAATAATTTAATTCAATAATTTGCAATCAAATTATGTAGAATTGTGACCTTAATATATTTAATTGTGATTTATAATTTTTTTGATATATGATTGATGAATAAATTGTGACTTATAAATTTTTTGATTTGTGACCATATAATAATTTGTGACAAGTAAAATTTCTAATTCATGACCAAGAAATAATTTGTGAACAATTAATTCGATAATTTGTGACCAATGGTATAGAATTGCAACCTTAGTATGTTTAATTAATTATTTCATAAATAAAATTTAATTAATATCTGATTTTTAAAATAATAAACTTTGTTTCTTAAGTTTGAAATGGATCAAACTTAATTTCTTATATTTGAAATTTTCCCTTTTCAAAATGCGGGAATGGACCAGATTTTGGGCTTTCATCAAAGTGTTATCACGCAATGGAAATAAAACCGGCAAGTGGGCTAAGCCTCGTTTTCATCATAGCCCAAGAGTTTGGACTGGACTTTTTGGCATCATAGCCCAAACATAGAGTTTCTCAAAATTTAGTCAACCCATCTCAATATTCTATGTAAATTATGTTGCATGAATATGTCTAAATTGCTTATCATTTTCAAAGAAGAAGAACCGAAAAGATTTTCAGGTAGTCCATCCAGTCCTGCTTCCTTAGCATTCATTTGAGAAGTATTTATAAATAATTTAATTTATAATTAAATAAAAATGAGTGATGAATAAATTGATAATACTTGCGTATTCATTGAAATGAAGGATTGGAAATGAAATTTGATCATTTATAATGATTTATAAATTAGCCAAACACGGTGTCTAATAATAAGCATAAACATTAAAGTAGGGGCGTGTTCGGTTGAGATTAAAATCATATTAAAATTGAAATATTAGTTGTTATTGTTGACTTTTATTAGACAAGTGAGACCTAATAACAACTGTATTTTCAATTTTAATTGGATTTTAAGCCCTACCAAACATTGCTCTAGATGTGGGTATAGTGCCTTGGTGGCATATTTGCTAAAGTATATCAAGACCGCACATCGCTTGAAGACAAGGACAAAATCAAACTTTAATTTTATTTAATATCCATCTAATATGGTCTGATATTGCACATCAATCGACATTCTCAAGCACGTCAATCTTAGCTTCAAGAGTCGGATATATTGTGGAGTTGTCTATGGAACCAAAAGTTCATAGAGAAACAGTACCACATTCAAATTTGTCAAGATTCATGGAGAGACAGTAGTACCACATTCAAAATTGTCAAGATTCAGTAGTTCCTGCATGGGCTCCTGAAACACACTGATGTTACAAATAATAAACCTGCACTAGGATAATTTCACGAAACATGGTCAACCATACGACAGTGAATTCGTTCCAGGGCCTTGTAAAACCGCTCATCACACTATGGGAGCCGCCGAGCCAACATGCCCAAAGTCATTACCTTAACCGACGGGGAAGCAGAATATAGGGCCAGTGTGAAATCGTAACAAGGTAACATTGCTTGAAGGTGTGACTGATAGCCTGTTTGGTGCACATTAAAATGAAAGAATGCATTTTTTGAAGTGATATGATGGGGAATACATGGTTAAAAATGAAGGAAAAGTTATTGATGTGATGGAAAATATTATTTTATTGAAAAATATATGATTGAAAATGAGTAGAAGAATGAGAATGAAAAAAATAACGTGGGTCAAACAGGGACTGAATCACCCTTTTTTCAAGGAGAGCTAACGCTTGTTGAGAAGCCGCTTATCCAATGAATAGCTAAGATTTGTTGACAATCGCTAGCTACAATTCCAGGGACATCATAAATAGTCCCGCTATTCCTACTTTTTCCACTTTCACATATGGGCTCTAAATTCTCTAGGTCGCCAACCAAACTTACATGAGTACTATGTATAAATGTAAATTAACTAATTATAGTACTGAATTTGATTATAATCTCCATCTTTATTCATCAAAAAGGTTACAAAGATTCCGTAACATGTAGGTATGATTGAGCTAAAAGGATTCTTTTTAATTAATATCCAAGGAATAAAATGTTGCCTATAGTATTTCACAATTTGCATTTTGCACCCAAAAAAGGTGTTTATCAGGTGTAAGGAATTTGCACAATCTTCTTTGAATTGGAAGAATGAACTGGTGCGGCCAGATTCTCTTCAATCTGAGAAGATGACGGAAAATCAAGATCCAACAAGCCCTTTGCAGCGAGCATAAGAAACGATGAGTACAAAAAGGATGGCACACAATGCCCCAGAGAAGATTACCACCTGGAACCACTAATTTTGTGTAAGAAATCAGGATATATGACGAGAACTTTACCTTCGATATCACATTATTAAAGTTCAATGCTTACCCATTTAAACATGTACCCATGATCATCATTCCAAGTATACGGAATGTTCATGCCAAATATGCCAGCTACCAAAGAATAGATAGATAAACATACAGTTCCGGAACTGAGAAAGAGCTCCAACTGTAGCCCCACGATAAACAGAAAAAATTTGTAAGTCCAATGAACACAATAAAATGACTTGTACTAGCCACAACCTTTGTGAATATGTAGTTAAGCTGACAAGGGATTTAGCAAAAATACTACAGAATTTTACCATATACATGACAAACCTGAATCAGTTGATTTCGATGATTGTCCAGCTGAAATGAAAAAAACATGAAATGGTTTTATATTTCTATGCATTCAGGGCATAAAATGTTTATCGATCAAACAAAGAAAGTTGCCCACTTCCATTACCTGAATGTTGATGTAGTCTTCCGTGTTATCAATATATTCACGCAGCTGCAAAATTTCAAGTAGAGAACCGTAAATAGTTTTGTGGGATTAGTGTTTCCTCTAGGCTCCCTTTGGATCTTGGAATCCAGTGTGGGAAACATTACGTAAACCGTCTCCAGTCTTTGGTTCGAAAGAGAAACACAAAGTAGAGGTATGTACAAACATAATTACGGGAGACATCTGCCTATTTAGACATTTATTTTTTCCCATTTTCACGATGTTCAACAACAAAAAAATTCTCAAATTTTATGTTATTTTGTTAGAAATGAAAATTCACTTCATAATATTGTTTTCCCTTTTCACTTTTCTCCATTAATATTCTAGATATTAACAGTGCGTGAGTTTAGAATGTGGAATGGCAGCTCCAAAAATATTCGCATTTAACAGACATCCAAAAGACCCTTGTTTAGAAAAAAAGGGAAAAAAAGATCAATGCTCGTAAACAATGCTTTGACACAAAATAAAGATAATAATTTTTTACCAAAAAACAAAAGAAGGTTATGGACATACTGTAGTTAATTTGTTCAGAGTGCCATCAATTTGCATGAAGTATGCCTGCAATGAGAAGAGCCGTTTGTCACAAAATAGTTATAGTACATCCCAACCGTCATATAGTCTGATTTGTTACCTCAAGTAACATCTCAAGTTCCTCAACATCATTCTCATCTCCACGAACTGTTGCTATACTTGCCCTACTGGCTCTAGATATCTTCGAGCCTATGGTTGGTGATCCAAGGAACCAACTGGCAGCACCCGAGCCACTAACAGGTGATGCACTGACCAACTTTCTAGAAAGGTAAAGGTCTGCCATATCATCATCATCATCCAAAAGTTGTTCCAGCTCATCCCTCACCTGCAATCCATCACAAGACGAAACCTCAAGTATTGAACACAATCTCCCTCTTGTAAAGGTTTTAAAAATTCATTTAGGACTAAGGAGAGATGCCCAGCTCAAGAACAAGACTAGGATTATTTAAGAATTTCACATGATGCATCTTTTGAACCATGCATGTCAAATTGGGAATCATCTCAGGTTAATCATCCACTCGTAATGAACACTTCATATTTACATCAGCATGTAGCAACCATGGAAGGCATCTGGATTTGTAGTACATGAAAGGATATGTGATAATTTTAAGAATGTATAATTGTGTTTTCAATTAGGTATACATATCATTGACAGCCGTTTGAATTTAAGTCGTGAGCCTAACACACAGGATAAGATACCATACAAATCATTTCAGCTGATGAAATGAATCAAAATACACGTAATTCCATCATGTTCTTGTATCCTTATATTATTTGAAGAACCACAAATCTAAAATACATGACAAAATGCAACGTGCACGTTTAGATATCACGAGGAATGGAGGATTCTAAGGATGTGAGTGTTCATGTGTTTGAGCAGCTGCCAAAAATTGGCCATACGCACAATCAAGTGACCCCTTAAATATAAATATGGAACTAAATCAATTTAATAATTTGTAGGGTATGGAAGCATCTCATGCATAATAAAAGAAATGCATAATAGCCCACCAGGACAACTATAAGCAAGGAAATTACTATAACCCTACAATGCGTATGTAGCTGATGGCAAAGATGAATACACTGTTCAAAGATTTGAACAGTGAAATTATTGAAACACTGCAGAAGATTTGGGATGGAGGGAGATCACTACCTTTTGCACACGGGCAGTTAACCTCGTCATTTGACTCTTTAATTTGCGAACTCTGTCTAAGTTGCGGCTACTAATCTGCATTTATAGTAGTTTAAAGAATTAGCAGAAGATCCTTTAAAGAAACTACAAAAGACACAAAATTAAAGGAAACGTGCAAAAATAAAGCAAAAATGTATTTCTATCACAAGAGATCTGCAATTTAAACAGATGCCATCATACTCTTCTACTAAAATTCCATAAAAAATTGGAGGTCCATACTAAAAGTTTCACTATATTAAGGTTTAAGTTATTAAATGAAGCGGTATTCTAGTCCAAGTATGCTGGAGACCATCCATTATCTGATATGCGCATAACAAAAGTCAGATGCAGCAAAAGGACACCAAACAAATTCCTCAGGCATGTGTGGAAGAGATTTTTTCTAGGTTAGGTCAGTAACATCTGACGTACAGAGCAACCCTAAAAGTTGATCCGTTACTTAAAAAAGCTGAGGTACTTGATAAATTTAGGAAAAATAAGACAGCAAATGAACTGCACCTTTGATGTAAGCATATCTAAAGCTGGATAAACAGCAGTCTCCAATTCTATAGTGCGGGCAGAAAGAAAACTACAGATGGCTTCCAATGCCACCTCCAGAGCCTGAAACTCAAAAGGAGAGTCTGCATGGAATCATGCAGATCATTAAGTATAATATTGTAGACTCCATATATAAGATGAGAAATGGAATGTTTTGACAAAAAAGAAGAGGGAAATTGAACAGGATAGAAAGGAAAACTGCAAGCAGGAGTACTCATTTATCTTTATCAACCAAAGAAACAATCACTAAGTTATTAATGCAACAGGCAATAACCATCCAACAAAAGGAATAAAAAGAATATAAGAAATACCATCTTCTTCACCCGCTTCGACATCATGCTGCACCACAAACTCCTTGCCATCTTCGAGATCTTCACGATTAGCAATTACTGGTTTCAGCCGCCTTCGTAGTTCTTCTATAACTGGAGTAACATTATCATCGGATGGATCACGAAGCAGCACCTATAACAGTAGTAAAGTTAAGATCACAATTCACAGTCCACATATAGCGCTCCAATGTATTATCCAACAACACCCTAGCTCTGAAAGTTAATCAATATTTCCATTTACAAATCCTAATTTTGAAATGAAAAAATGCAAGTGTTAATATGGTGCATCATCCATACTCATGGTGTCACCTTTCAGCAACCTTGAGGCACAAGCATGACAAGGTTGTATCAAATAGTATAATCTAAGCACGGATACGGATATGTAATTCGCGTAGGATACGATACAGATACACCGATACGACTTTTTTTGAAAAAATTAGGATGCCAATATGTTTTATAAAATTCAACATAATTTCATTAATATAAAAAAAAATATTAATACAGAAGCATGATAATAAAAACAAAACAAAATATTTAAACACTTTATTAGCGCGATTTTACATATACTAAATCCATTATCTATTTTCAATAATAGAATTAACGTAACACAACTTAACATGTATTATTTAATACTAATCACTATCTATTTTCAATAATAAAATATATTTGTCAACTATAACATGGTTTCACATGTATTGAAAGATTAATGAGATTGTGCATTTCCAATAAAAAGTTCAGTTGTTAATTTTAAAACTCTAATCGTGTATTTTCAATAAATGTTATTGATTTTCAATAAATTATTAAAATAATTTAAAAAATACATATCGGATATGTGTCGAATATATATCGAAAATCATACAAATATAAAATAATTAGAAAACAAGTATCCGGTATGTATCGGAAATGAGTACATAACGAGTTTACAAGTATCGGTGCTTCAAAATAAAAGATACAGAATAAAATTCAGAAGACTAAAATTAAAAAACAAGCATGTCCAATTGTTTTTAAAACATGCAACTCTATACAAGTTTCAAATAATAAACAAACTGTTCCCATCTTTCTCTTTTAAAAAGTTTATATAATTAAAATCAACATTAACTGTTTTTGTCAGCTCTAAGAAACCAACACTAGAAAGTCACACACCTGAAAAAAAAAACTGCTATTCTACCATGTCAGTGACTTATTGCTGAATAACAAGAAAAAATACAAATGTCATATTGATAATGCCATTGGTAAAACCATAAGCTTACACTTGAATTTTAAGAATCATGTGACTCCTTTATCAATTTTCAATGAAGATTCAAGGGCACATATTAAATTCCAATAGTATATCTATCAAACAGGTTCATTTATCTTGTCACTCACTTCCATGATATTATTCTATTAACTTAATAATTAATTGAATTGGCATTGATTTCACTTTTTTTGTTACGGTACACTTGCATCAAATTTTTTATCTTATTACCCCATAGATTAAAGGTTTTCACCAGCTAAGGAAGATCAAGTGATAGAGAAATCAAGGACAAAAATGAAAAGAGAAGCCTAAATGAAGAGGGAAAAAAAACAAAACTCACCTCTTCGGCAGTAATTATAGCCTTGATATGCTGCACTAACCCACAATCACATGCAAAAGAGAAAAAATAAAAAGTAAGTTAATACCATTATAATACAAATACAATACAAAAGACATTCAAAAAAAAGGTTAATTCTGAACTCGAAATCATTAAAAAAAAAAACAAAAAAATCAATCTTCTATTTTATAAGGGGAAAAAGCTTTTTAAACTATAGATTTAAAAAATCAATCTTCTCCCTTCAGATCAAAATAAAAGGACGCCCTTACTTTTGCACAGTGATATATAAAATCGTGTACTAGAAATAGAAATTTATTATTTCATATGAGGAAAATATATTTAGTATATAGATTGAAAAATTCAATTTTCTATTAAAATTAAATCTTCAGGCGAAAATAAAATATCCCTTAATTTTGCAATCCATGAACCCCCTTTTGCATTAACTATTACATTGAAATAAAAACTAATAAACAAGAATTAAATAAAAAATTCACCTCTAAATTGAGGACAATAGCTCTCTCACGGCCAAGAATGGTAGAAGGGTAAGACAAGAGGGGATCAAGAATTCGAAGATCACGCGCGTGGATTTGCACTCTGTGCATGATCGCGTACTTGTCAACGTCCAGGATGATCTCCTCGCCTGAAGAGTCCATAAGGATCCAGCTCCGTAAGCCGGCTCCCTTTTTCTTTGGAGGATCCGCCGGCACCACGTACCCACCTTCTCGACTCATCATCGCCAAACATTACAATGAAAAATTACTCAAAAAGTTTCCCGATTCTTTCACTGGTGTATATGTGTACGATGCATATATGATTGTTATTGTACAAACAGAGGAAAACCCCAATGAGAGAGGAGAAAATTAGGGTTTTCAGAGATATAAAGTGTGTAGAATCACATGGTTAAATTCGAATTTGTGTTTGATTTGGATTGATCTGGAGAGGTGGAGAAGAAGGCTCAGATTATGAATACTTTCTGGAATAATAAATGTTACTTTACATAAGGAAACGTAAATTCATTTTGAACCGCACCTTTTGTAAAATTCACATTATTTTTCTTTATCAACTTGCAACTTTTAGGTATTTTTCTTTATCAACTTACAACTTTTTTGGGTTACTGTCATCTAATTTAATTTTATTTGATCACGATCACTCAACTTTATAATTAGTATTAATATGATTGCCCAATTTGATTTTATTTCGTCGTGACAATCCAATTTCATATAACGTCTCACAATGATCACCTAACTTCTTTTCATCATTTTCGTTAATTTTAAAAGAGTTAAAACGATAACTTTGTATTATATATATATAACATAATTTTTTAAAAAATAAAATAAAAACTTATTTTTTAAAAAAATGTTAATTCACAGTATTAATTCGTGTGATTATTGAAATCTATTTCTTGTGATTATTGAAATTTTAATGATTGAAATAACCTTTTTTTGAAAAAATGTATAGTTAAAAAAGAAAAAAAATTTAGAATTATATTTAGGGGCTGTCTGGACCTTCTTTTTGAAGCAAAAAAATTGATTTCATAGTCATTACGCATAAAATTAGGCCGTCTTTTTTGACCAGCCATCTCAGAGGTGAGGTCTACCTTGACAAAACAATTGTCAATATTTCAATTTTAAGTTGATGAAGAATCAGCACCAGACACGTCCTTAATATTATTGTATTAGAGAATTTATTGACAATAAGAGGAGCAAAAATGAATTATAATTTTAATGGGGACCAAACATGCTAAATTAAATGGATTGACCTCCTAGAGGCGTGTGGCCAAATAGTCAAAGTCAGATGTAAGTCAAATTAGTCAATAATCACAAGAAATATATGTGTGCATGGTGATAGAAAAATAGTTTGACGCTTGACTTTTTGTCAATTATATATATGGGAGAATTTCATAAATGTCACTATAAATTCATTTTGAACCGCACCTTTTATAAAATTCACATTATTTTTCTTTATCAACTTGCAACTTTTAGGTATTTTTCTTTATCAACTTACAACTTTTTAGGGTTACTGTCATCTAATTTAATTTTATTTGATCACGATCACTCAACTTTATAATTAATGTTAATATGATTGCCCAATTTGATTTTATTTCATCGTGACAATCCAATTTCATATAACGTCTCACAATGATCACCCAACTTCTTTTCACCATTTTCGTTAATTTTAAAAGAGTTAAAACGATAACTTTGCATTATATATATATATAAAATAAATTTTTTAAAAATAAAATAAAAAATTATTTTTAAAAAAAATGTTAATTCACAGTATTAATTCGTGTGATTATTGAAATTTATTTCTTGTGATTATTGAAATTTTAATGATTGAAATAACGTTTTTTTGAAAAAATGTATAGTTAAAAAAGAAAAAAAATTTAGAATTATATTTAGGGCTGTCTGGACCTTCTTTTTGAAGCAAAAAAATTGATTTCATAGCCATTACGCATAAAATTAGGCCGTCTTTTTTGACCAGCCATCTCAGAGGTGGGGTCTACCTTGACAAAACAACAGTCAATATTTCAATTTTAAGCTGATGAAGAATCAGCACCAGACACGTCCTTAATATTATAGTATTAGAGAATTTATTGACAATAAGAGGAGCAAAAATGAATTATAATTTTAATGGGGACCAAACATGCTAAATTAAATGGATTGACCTCCTAGAGAGGCGTGTGGCCAAATAGTCAAAGTCAGATGTAAGTCAAATTAGTCAATAATCACAAGAAATAAATGTGTGCATGGTGATAGAAAAATAGTTTGACGCTTGACTTTTTGTCAATTAATATATTTGTTGAACGGAAATCAGTCAATTGCACTTTTTTAAAGGCTCAGAATGTATTTGTTATGGTTTAAAAATTTGGGACCAATGTACACTGTTTTGGAAGATTTGAATCCTTCACTTCAATTTTTTTCTGAAATGTAAGATAAGAGAGTAGGATTAGAATCCATGCTCTCCATTCTTGACCAAATTCTCCAGCAGGAGAAGGAATTCCCGCCCCCTCCAGAGCAGAAGGGCACGAGACTAGGCATTTTACTCCTACGTCAAACGACTCAAGCATGCTTTGAATAAGGTTAAGACGTGTGGCATTCCTCATTTTCTTCCACGTGGGCTGGCCTAACATGACCCACGGAAACCCGAGACATGCCAAACTATGCACGAACCACTCCAAATGCGGAATAAGTGAGCTCACCATAGACCGATTCACAACTCAGTCTTACTCATGTCAACCCTCAATACTTATTTTGTGGTGTCAGATGTAAATCTTGCCCCTGTCCACTCTCCCTAGTTATCATGAATTCTTCCGATGCCCCCGACTCCTCTCCCCTGCCAGCTTGCCCCCTTCCCCCACAAATTTAGCCTCTTCCTCACCTTGTCCACTCCAAATTATCATGTATTCGGTCAGTTCCTTAACTCTTCCTACTCCAAAATCCGTGTTATGAATACCAATTACACCAGCAGGCAACTCAAAGCCAAGAAACGAAGCAACTGGTAAATAATACATAAAGCTGAATATGTACTCAAAAGCTACAAATATACAATACTATGCCTAAGATTACAGAAAAGAAGCTAAACTCTACAAGACTCCACTAATTAACCTTGAACTGCCAATTCTTGCAAGTGCTCAATGAATACTTGCAGGTTCACATCGTCAGTAAATATAATTTCCGAACCTTCTGTATACGTTGAGTTCTGAGTAACGGATGGATTTAACTTGGCAAGAAGAAACCGTGTCTGGCTACTATGCTGGTCACATTTGATAAGTTTTGGGACAGGAACCCTTTCAGCTACCAGGTGCTCAGCATCAAGCTCGGGAGCTTCTAGAAGTTTCCTGAAATTCTCGTGGTTTGGGTCCTTGTCATAACCGAGCTTTCTCCACTGTGCAATCTTAGAACCATAGTGAATGACAACGTAAAAGAAGGAATCAAAAAGCAAAATTACATCGGGAGATATGGAGCATACGTCCAGGAGTACTGGGATTGGGGGTCCATCGAATGAATACTGGAAAAGGGTAGGCTGGACCATGATAAGAGAATTAACCACTCCCTCGCGATTTAACATCATACGGAAATAAGCTGTCTCGTCTGGAGTGCTGTTGAAGACATCAATAAACTGTGACCTCCTCAAATAGTACAAAAATTGTGGGTACAAGGAGAAGTTTGACGAAAGACGGAAGGAAGACGGGTCTTCTGGCATGTAATCCCCAAATTTAGATGCAAAACGAATTAACATCTTCTCCAACCATCTTACGACATCATGTGCATAATTTCTCTCTGTCCTGTGGATGGCAAGCCTAGCCATAACTGAAGCTGCTACTTCCTGATCACAGCCGGCAGCAATTTCAGGTGAATGCTTCCCAGCCCACCTTCGTGAAACATTGTCACCCTTTTACGAATTCCCATGTTACCATAACGATAACATGTTATGAACAGTATGAAAAATGCAGAGCCAGATTGAACATTTTGTTCATCACCCATTTCAAAGAAGAAAGCAATGCATGTTTTGCTAGCAACTGTCCCCAGTTTCCAAATGTAAGTACCACCCTCACCAATCTCTTTGTTGCTTACTGAATTATTCATCTTCCGCATAGAAGTACAGGGACCAACGGCCCCACAAATCTTCACATCTTTTGTCGTTACTATCTCTATAGTTGCATCAAAACATATCTTTAAATTTCCAAAATCATCGCGATCAAACATTTGACGCAGGCACTTTCTAAATTGCTCCGACCCAAATGATTCCCCTAACATCATGAAACCACCTGAACTTTCAACTGGGACCTTTAGTTCTGCTGCTCCAACCTGATCCAGAGAGCAGGCAAAGAGATCAAGAATGATGGATGAATCAGATAATCTCAGAGATATTTGCTCGTAGAATTCACTGGATTTTCTATAATAAGCTGCATAACCATTACTAAGGTCTCGGTGAGTTCTGATGGCATTGCCAAGATCAGAATTGACAATGATCCCTGGGCCGATTGTTGCAGGTCCTGATGTGAAGACCATGACACGAGAACCAGTATTCACCGAGCATCCTTCTAGAAGTCCTACAGCCACTGATATTGCAACACCGGTAGACCGTAGAGGTCGGTGTCCTTGCATGACCTGCGGTGAAGAACGGATATCTTCAATTGCAGAAGTTATGTTGAACTCACATTTTGACACTGGCAAGAGAAAGTCCTTTCTTTGAACAGTTGATGACTTTCCATGGGATTGTATCATGTGCTGCTTCGTCTGATGATAAAGTAGTTCACAAAATAAATGAGAATTGAGTGTTATATATATATATAAAAGAAAAGAAAAAAAAAGGAAATGCTACAGACGCTAACACAACAAGATGGAAAAGAAAAAGAATCCTGATTTTTCCCCACAACACTGACCTCAAGGGTACAGGTATTAGACTGTACATGATGTTTCATCCACCTCAAAACCTAGTCGTTGATCCGATCACCAAGTATTCCCCCACCTCTCAAACACTTTGGGGTCCTCACCTATTAGCCTTCCCCGTTCCCACCAAACAAGATAAACTAAATGTATCATCTCCTCACATCAGAACGCCCAGCTCTAAGAGCTCTAACAAATACTACTGGTGTCCTGGCCGCCCCATCAAAATACTGTAATCACATAATTTCATCAAGATCTGATAATTATTCGCTTATTCCTCTATTCCAAACATATATGACGTACATATTGAATGAAACAACCAAATAGTTAGCAAATTAGCCAACAAAAGTCACTGACTTGGACGAAACACTGCACTTGATCTAATAATCCAAATAATGTGCCATACAATTTCAGGAAGATACAAAATGAAGCTGCTCCACTTCCTTTTTCAGGGAAAATACCCTCCTTCACCGTCCATCACTGCCATTTCTCCACCAGTTTCCATTCATATCTGCAAACCACCAGCTTGTAGTGGCACCAAACATGGAGCCCTAAAGCAGAGAACCAAAAACAACTAGTTTAAGTTCCATTGTTTTTATGAACACATCAGAGTCGATAATATTCTGCTCTGTTCATGAATAACCAATCTAGAAAAGTGAGTGAAGTAACAGGTCAAGTTGAGACAAGAATGCAATGTGGGGGTGGAGAAGTGATCTGTGGAAAGGAGACAGGTGTAGTAGCAAGGGGAGACTTTGCCATTGAATGCAAACTCCAGACAAGTGGCAAGTGGAGAGAGATTGGCAATTGCGGAAACTTGCATAGAATTGCAGAATTGGGGGGGGATTCTATATCATTGGTGGCTCAATAGTTGCTAAAATAGTTCAGGGTTGGTAGAAAATGAGGAAATGGTTGAGTGGATCAATATAATTTAAACTTTTTTCCTGACTTGTTGCTGACTTGTATATTAAGGAGCTTGGCTTGTATCAGAATGAACATAACTATGCCAACCTCCGTGGAGGTTCTTTCTAATTGCTTGAGTATTTATCTTTTCTTTTCATACTCTGTTGGCATCCTTTATTTCTATATAAGATTTGAAGGAAATGAGAAAAAATGTCAAGAGATAGTGTGGCTTGTGTCACATTATTAGGGACCTTTGAAATTTCAACTTTACAAGCTTCAAGTTGTGGAAGAGGAGTTTGAATTATGAAGTTGGCCTTCATGTTTTCTGGAAGAGACTCATATTATTGGAATGATCCCGATGGATAATTAGAATGGAGATAATAGAGAAGATTATGTTCCAAACAAAGAATTCATTGGTTCAAAAATCAAGGTCTTACTGATATACCAATATATCAGAAACTCACATGGAGCCTGACAGTACCCTTAAAAGACCGGCTACCTTGCAATCGTTTATTGCTTATCTCATAGTTCAAAGAATTCATTTCATATCTTACATTGACAACAACCCCATTTTCTCATTTTACAATTTTATCCATATTTGTCAAATTAAAGCAATTATTTCCACATCTTTCATCACAAACAGCAAATATGTTCAACAAATTAAGGCTAATTACCAAGTAAAATCACAGATACATGGCAGCACAGTTACTTGCATTGAAACACAAATAAGAAAAATATATTTACTCAATGTACACTTAACAGCACATGCGAAGAGGTTAACTTAGTTGACCTTGTTCCACAAAATTAATCAACAACAAATACAATTGAAGAAAATAAACAAATGTAACAAAATAAATTCATGTTTTGCTACTAAACCCAAGAAAATGTTCAATTTTGGCAAGATTCAGCAGAATATGTAAGGAAACACAGCTTCATATAGCAAATGAAACAGATTACTTTGTTCTAATATGAAATCCAATACAGAAATGAATCATTCTCAACATCAACTAATATGCCTTTCTTTTGAAATTAAAATACCTGTTCCGTTGAAACCTCACGCTCACCATGAAAAAGCTCAACCCTCAAACACTCGGCGAACCCCAAGTCATACACCCTCACCATAGAGTCAAAAACAACCAGACCAACCAAGGCATTCTCTGGTAATCGAGTGATCACATGCAACAATTCACTCTTCAGCAGTCCCAGCTCGTCTTCTGGTGTACAAGCATCCACAACAAACACTATTGCAGGCCCCACCACTAACCCAGCCCCTGCCCAATCCGAACCCGAACTTGAACCAAAATATGCTGACATTGATGTAAATGAACTACTGTTAGACCTCAAACCCAATGCCCCATTCATGCTTGGAGCAGAGCTCAGACCAGAACTCAAACCCAAGGCTTGATCCGAACCCATTTTATTCAAATGATATTCCACGGTGCAGTATGTAGGAAAAAGCTAAGCCGGAATATTATTTTCATTTATATGAACATACGATTCAGGGAACCGGTTCTTCCCATAGCAAAACGGACATCCCAGATTTTCGCAGTGTAATCGACCCGGGAATACGGATTCAAAACTGCGAGGCATTGGGAACAACTCAAAGGATCGTAAGGCAGAATCGGAAGCTCAATGAATGGCATTAAGGGGGTGCACATGATGGACAGTGGGATGACTAGTGATGCAACTTCCGGCTTGGTAGCAGGCCATGAGTGCCATGACCATCTGAGGCCCTCCATCGCTTCCAATTCATTAAAATCCATTGACAGCCCAGGTGAGTAAATCAGATGAAATTGATTAAATGAGGGTATAATTTCATCAGGGTATGAAAAAATAAACCAATATAGATTAGGGTTTGGGTTTTTTTGCTTTCACTTTTTTGGGCGTGAATTTCCAGAGATTTTGAAGTAGATTCTGGCCGGCAACATTGATTCAGAGGGCAAAGAATCCAGAAAGCAGAATCGGTAATGCTCCAGCATTTTCATTTACAGCGTTTGTACCGCCTTAAAAAAATATAAAAAGGGTAGTGCGAGACTGTACATAATTTTTAATAAAAAAAGGGTAGTGCGAGACGTACATAATTTTTATACACAGAGTGTTACATGGGGTGGAGCCCACTCACATGGTGGGACACATCCCATGTGAGTGTTATGTAACACTCTATGTACAAAAATTATGTACATCTAAAATTATTCTTTCAACAAAGATGACGTGGTCACTAAGAGCACTGCTATGAGTACAGAGTTTTTTAACAGAAAACATACAGGAATTTGAAATGAATGAAAATGATTGAAAGATTGGAGGAAGGAAAAAATACACACACGGACATGATTCATTCATTTCAAAATTTTGACAAAATTCTAGTCTGAGCGGATATAATCGACCTACTTGTGACAAGCATGTGTGACATTTTATTCATGTCTAAGCGTAAAATAGCTTGACCCACACCCTACTGTTAAATAACATCATTTGAAGAATTATAAAGTCAATAATATCCTACCTATGGTGTTTGCTCTCTATGGTTGCGTTCGGATATCCTTGTTTCTTTCATTATTGATTGAATTAAGAACAACCCGTGAGAATTAAATGCAAAGTTCGCTAGAATTTGGAATTTGCCAGATTCAGACAGTGATACACAACAAACAAATTGACAGAACATCACCATGTTTAATGTAGGGGCCATATTTGAGTTTCTTATCCACTAAAAATTTCAGGGTTTGGCCATGAAGTGATTCATCAATAGATCTGACATCAAGTTTTGAGTTGGCATGTCGTGTAGGCAAAATTTGACCATGCACCTGGCCAAATCCACGTTTATTCATGAAGGTTAACGATATCTTTAATTAATACGTTAGCACTATTGATAATTATCATTCAATTTGTCAATGGAGTCGGTGTCACATTTTCCAATGAATAAAAATGTATTTCAACTTCATTGAACAATATGAGAACGCATAAATAGTGATCATCTTGTTGAATAGCATTACTCATACATTAATCTAAACATAATAATATAAAAAGAAATAATCTTTAGTGACTCGAGCCTAGAAGTGCCTCCTAGAGCTGCTAGAGTTAGAGGAGTAAGTAGGAGAAAGAGTTGGAGTCGGAGCAAGGGTTCCAGAGCCCAATTTGTAGCTCGTGCGGTAGTGGTGTAACCTCGCTACGAGTTGTATTAAATAACTCATCCATAGATAGTGAAGAAAGGAATGAGGTTGAGTTCGAGCTATAAGATAACTACTTGCTAGATCAGTAATACATATATAAATAATTTTTCTGTCGGGCAACAAATTAAGACATTATTTGTCTTCTATTCAATATATTCTTATGTTTGATATACCTTAATTTAAAACCGTATAATAGATAAAATTTACACTTCTTTATTTTTTATATTATTTGGTAGTTGGTACTATGTTTATCGAACCAAACTTGGTTTCAAAGTAGAATAGAAAACCAGACATAAAGATTAGGTGCAAAATGTACCTAAATTTTCACATTGAATACAATACCCTTTAATCATGTTGCTTCAAGAAAGTATTAGCCACTTTATATTAAGTAGATTAATATGATAAAAAGTGATTTCTAGTGAAAGGCATGTATAATAAGTGTATATCCCCCATATTAATTTCTTATGTTCATGAAATAAGCATTGAGCATATATGTGAGGGTATAAAAGAGCATGGAATTATGTTCACATTGCTTTCAGGTAGAAAGGTCGATCTTGAGCCTCGACATAATTGCTTCCAATACAATTACAACTTAGAAGATCTGACTTGACATGATTTATCTAAATATTCGACTATTGATGATAACTTGACAGGGATCTATCATACATTTAAGTTGTTCAGCCAGACTTACATTCTCAACAAGATAAATTAGTTTATTGTGTTCACCTAAAGACAATACAACACGGCTCATTTCATCTTGTCTCGTACTTGAATTGTTGTATCATGTAGGAGACTCGACTTGAAGTCCATACATAATTGCACCAATTATCACTCTGAAGATATTGTTTGACATGATTTATTTGGAGAATCCACGACTTAACTTGACATGGTTTATCCTATGTCGAGATGGTTCAACCCAACTTTCATGATCGCCGAGATAAACTAGCTTATAGTTTGACTCGGGCATGGCTCATCTTGTGCTTGGATGGTTCAATTAGTAAACAATTTTTTTATGATCATCATGATAACACGAGTAGTTTCGGACGTGTGGGGTCCAAATATACACGGAGTATATTATTGGTTGTTTTTTTAAGTGGGCCCCGTCCCATGATATCTGGGAACAGGACAACATACTAGGCAATAACCTTGTAAATTGTAATGTTGCCTGTCTTTTGGTTCTCTCCACAAACTTTGCAAACTATAGTTGTTGATCTTGCCACGTCCTTGCCCCAATGAATTAATGTGCCAACTCATCGGTATTTAGGATAAGATGAGCACAGGTGCTCATTAGATCATTTCTATATATATATATATATTATTTTTTTTTTTAATTTTTTTTATGGGATAATTGCAGTAACGGTCTTAAATCTTTTTCTTTTTAAAGACTTTATCAAAACTTTTCATTTGTATCATTCACAGTCCCAAATCTTTGAAATAATTGCAACACGGTGATAAAATAAAGGAAACTATCAATTAAAATCGTTAGTTGACAAAAAATCAACGATCTTATCAAATTTTGACTAAGCTTAGAAGGGTAAAATTATAATTTTATATTATTTCACATTAAATAGTAGTAGTAGTAGTAGAAATGAATTTGGAAAATGATCAACTTCTTCCTAACCCCCACCTCCCCATCCAACTACCCACCTTACCTTACCTCCAAAATCAAGCCAATTTAGTTTGATTCAATGATTTGTGTATCTTGACAATTGATAATTCAATTTAATTTATCTGTTCCGAAGTAAGTTAAACATATTTTAAGTACGACACAATCATATTTCTATTCCGAATTCACATGTAAAGTAACGCATTCAATTGCACGATTATTCAAGTGATTGCATATGTCATACATGTTATTTATAACTTCTATTATCCTCTTGTTAATCTTGCAAAGTTCTCTTCGTCAAAAACTATGAATTGCATTTGTCAGTAATTTTATTATTTATTTGCACCCAGTTTTCTGTTTTCTATTAGTTTGAGTTATAAATGTTAATTGTCTTACCAATAGAGAAAAGATAACAAAAAGGGGGCACTTTGTTACTTTATTAAAAATCTAGTTTCAACTGTTAACATTATGAGTTTTGCATAATTTATTGGATCAAGAACCTTATGCTTATGATTCATATTATTGCATTAGGTATGTTGACTTTGCCTTTAGATTGACATCCCTGCAATAGCACATTAAAAACGTAATTACTTACTGACAAATAATAATAATAAATAGGTAGTACCTTTATGGGTCAAAAGTGATTTTTGACAATAAACTCCACTTCTAAATCTCGATATGATTTTGAGCATTTTTTATTTTACATGTTCGGTTCTAATGGCAACAACTATTTTATGTTAATAGAATAAGAATTAGTTGTCAAGAATGAACATTGTAGAATTTTTTAAATGCATGATAATGACCTTGGATTATCGGCACGTAGATTTCATGGACGGCTAAAGATATCTCAACTATTCACTCTAAAATGAAATTGTTAAGGATTCCAGGTAAATAAACATACAATTGTTCCATGCTTATGTTACTTCGTTAGATGTTTAAACATGTTACGGAATTGTTATTATGTGAACTTGACATTTGATTCATCACGCTTTATGTCATTTATGTTTTCATGACACATTTAGCACGTTAATACATCTATAAGCACACGTGAAATTTCAAGAGATAAACTATTTCCAAATGTTAACAAGTCAATGAATCTTTAAAAAAAAATATGTATCCCGAATGCTTTTATCACGAGATGTATGTCTGTACCATGACATGTGTGAGTGAAAAATGGAGAGTGAGGGGCTGGCGCACCCGACCAATGTTTAATGAAGATGTTAACCAATTTGCAATACTACCGGTAGGATCAATCGGGTTCCAAATAATAATAGCTTACTGCATTCTGATTGATCAGGCGATACATTAAGATGAGTTCACAATGTTAAGGTTAAGGTTTTCATTTTGTAAAGAAATGAATGAAGAGGGGATACATATCGAGAAATGATTTTATTTTAAAATTAGTGCATATGCATATTATAAGCATGCATCATATGCATGATGTTTACTTGTTGGAATTGTGCCATAATTAGTGAGAGGAACAGATCCCTTAATCCTTGGAATGGCATATAGTTTGTTAGACAGCTGGCATTACTCTATAGAATTAGATAGTATATTCCCTTTGTACTGTGTAACAATATACATCCATCAACTTGTATATATATCAGTGTAAATGCAACAGGAAAGAATCCTTTCCAAAAACCTTCAATTTCATTCTTATTCTCTACTTGGTATCAGAGCCATGGCCAATGCTGGTTCAGCAAATCCAGCCATTTCCACCGAGCTAAACACCACAGCTACCACACAAACCAGCATACTTCAGACTTCTCCATTTGGAATGAACCTCACTCAAACTCCCTCTGTGAAGCTGGATAAGAACAACTTTCTATTATGGTAAAATATGGTAATGCCTATAATCAAAGGTCATCACCTGGAAGAATATCTGATGGGAACAAAGCCGTGTCCCCTAGAATTTGTTGCTACTCAAACCGCCACAGGTGAAGGAGGTTCTGTAGAGATGTCCCAGAAC